ACACTCACTAATGCAGAATTGGGTTCTGTGGCATTGTCTGGTCTTCATGTCATTTTTTTTTTACCTTATGCCAATACTCTCAGTACTTCACACCTGTACTATGTAGGGTCAACCCATAAGGTTATTTCTGAGCACTTTTGTCATCATCAATAATGGAGAAATGTGACAAGTATCAGAGGGGTAGCCGTGTTAGTCTGGATCTGTAAAAAGTGAGAAAGAGTCCTGTGGCACCGTATAGACTAACAGACGTATTGGAGCATAAGCTTTTGTGGGTGAAATACCCACTTTGTCAGACGCATGAAGAAATGTAAATTTTTTTTAGAAATTCTTTCAAACGGTCAATTTCCTGGAAGTTGGAAGAGGGGGAGGAGTAATCTAAGTGACTTAAACTTCCGACTGGCTGACAAGGGATGGATCACTCGAAATTTCCCTGTTCTGTTCACTCCCTCTGAAGCATCTGGCACTGGCCACTGTCGGAAGACAGGATACTGGACTAGATGGACCATTGGTCTGACCCACTATGGCCATTCTTATGTTCTAACTCTGCTGTTCAAGAAATCCATTATATAGTGGAATAAACAACATTATGCCTAAAAATTACAATTTTCAGCAACATTTACACTGAATAGCAGCCACACTGAAAGGCAGATATAAACAATGAGATTCAGTGATGACCTTTATCAACTGTAGTGACAGCTATTAATCAGACTGCAAATTCTCATCATCTCGCTGGACAGAATTCATTAGAGACAAAGATTGCTGTGTTACTTTTGTCTTTGATTGAGGTACGTCCCATTAAAATGAATAGTTTTTTACCGGAACAAATCACACGTTTCAAAACAAAAGCCTGGGATTATTATTCACTGATTCGTTTGATGACTAAGATAACAAGACTAGAAGACTAGCTAAACCTTATTGTGTTTTGCCTGGAATACAGTGCGGTTCAATTTGTTCTTCCTTTAAGCAAACCAATTTTCTGTTCATTAAATCGGACCCTTTATCAATGGCCTGTTTTGAATATAATAGCAAGATATAGAGCCTTGACAAATGAATGCTGGTTTTCTTTTTAAAATGTGTTTTAGTAGTGCTAGAAACACATAGAAGAAATTAACACAAGATTTGAACTTTTAGGAAAAAAAGTTTTTCATCACTTACTTCCAGCTACGGAATAGCATTTACAGAGTAACTATGAAGATTTACAGTTCATTAAAGCATTTTGTTTTCATTAGGGTAAGTGTAACCAGGGAAAAAAGAAGTAATAAAAGTTTAGTAGAGATTTCATTAGAGGGAGCAATATAACTCTTGTCAGTTTGTGTTATGGTCTGAGAAATAAGTACTAATTATTAAGTATCAAAGGGGTAGCCGTGTTAGTCTGGATCTGTAAAAGCAACAAAGAAGTGGGTATTCACCCACGAAAGCTCATGCTCCAATACGTCTGTTAGTCTATAAGGTGCCACAGGACTCTTTGTTACTAATAAACCTACAGACCCATTTGATTAATAATATACTTCACCTATGTGTTCAAGGGAATTGAGGTTCTGGAACAGCCTTCCAAGGGGAGCAGTGGAGGCAAAACACCTAACTGGCTTCAAGACTGAGCTTGATAAGTTTATGGAGGGGATGGTATGATGAGACTGCCTACAATGGCATGTAGCCGATCTGCGACTGCTAGCAGCAAATATCTCCAGTGGTCAGTGATGGGACACTAGATGCAGGGCTGGCGCAACCCATTAGGCGACCTAGGCAGTCACCTAGAGCGCTACAATTTGAGGGGTGGCGACCACGGCGGTATTTCGGAGGCGTGACCTTCCGCCGCCTCTGTGGGGGGCAGCATTTCAGGGCGGGACCTTCCGCTGCCTAGGGCGGCAGAAAAGCTGGCGGCGCTCCTGACTAGATGGGGAGGGCTCTGAGTTCCTACAGAGAATTCTTTCCCAGGTGTCTGACTGGTGGGACTTGCCCACATGCTCAGGGTCTAACTGATTGCCATATTTGGGATTGGAAAGGAATTTTCTCCTGATCAGATTGACAGAGACCCTGCGGGTTTTTCGCTTCCTCCGCAGCATGGGGCACTGGTCACTTGCAGATTTAAACTAACGTTAATGGTGAATTCTCTGTAACTTGAAGTCTTTAAACCATGATTTGAGGACTTCAATAACTCAGTTGGATGTTACGGATGTATGACAGCAGTGGATGGGTGAGGTTCTGTGGCCTGCAATGTGCAGGAGGTCAGACTAAATGATCATGATGGTCCCATCTGGCCTTAAAGTCTCTGAGTCAAGTTTCCAGTTGGGGGTCAAGCTTTAATAACCAATTTACTTAATTAGAAAATATCCTAATATTTTGAATGGTGTATCTGACCACACTTAAAGTTGGCCTGTTGTATTGAGTATAATATATAATTGGAAGCTCTTGCATGTTGCTTACATAACACGTTGGCTAATATCTGTGTGACTAAATACCCAATCTGTCTGAATAGTTACCACTGTTTCCCAAATGCCTGGGACAATGAAACGTGGGACTGTTTTTTGTTTTTTTTAAATAACTATCAGGAATTTGGGAAGAATTGCACTGTTAAATTTTCATTTATTATCAGTTGTATCCCTTAGAAGATGCTGAGGCCTGGGGTGCATACACATAGCTGCCATTGATTCCATACAAGGAAGACTTTGGCACATCTGTCTTTCCTAGGTTCTACTATAGCACCTATCACCTTGTATCTAAAGGGCAATTGCAAGTCCCAGTGAAGTCAGTGGATGGAATCCCATGGATTTAAGGGGAACCCTATGAGCTGCAAATGCCCATTACTTAGGCATTTACCAATATGGAAAAGCTATCAATGTTAGGCTATTGGTACTCCCTTTTATTTCAGCCCAAACAAGAAAAATACATTTCAAGCATGTACTACAGAGATTTGTAGAAATTATACTTGACAATACAAAATGAGTAAACTAAGGCAATGTAAAGCAAAGCATACAAGTCTATAAATAAGATGTCACAGCCCTAGTTTATCTTTTGTGAATCTTGCACCTTTTAAATTCTTTTTATTGTGGTATTGATGATGAAAATAGCTGGGGTACATGTTTGTTCTGTAGGCAGCTGATGTGGATTCATGCACTGATAAGAGATTAATTTTTTTCTACTTTATTACCGGTAAATGGGTCATAAGATTCTTATCTTCTACACTATGCCAATTAAATTGCAATGGTATTTTATTCAAATGGAGGTGATGGGTTGCAGGCAGATAATGAAATATGCTAAGCAACGTTACTTGTACTACACTTCTACCTCGATATAACACTGTCCTCGGGAGCCAAAAAATCTTACCGTGTTATAGGTGAAACCGCATTATATCAAACTTGCTTTGATCCACCGGAGTGTGCAGCCCCGCCTCCCTGGAGCACTGCTTTTCCGCGTTATATCCGAATTCGTGTTATATCGGGTCGCGTTATATCGGGGTAGAGGTGTATTAATGTTGTACACTTAAACAATACCTTCTATCCAGAACAGAGGTGCATAGAACAGATGGCTTTTGGATTCAGATTCGATTTAGGTTAGAATTTGAGGCCAGAATAAGGCTAGAGTTTAGATTCAGGTTTGGATTTGACAGTCTTGGAATCTTGTGAGCTGTTCTCATAAGACTTTGCCCCAAGCTGGTAGAATTCTCATGAGACTACCTGATCACATTGGGCTGAAATCTCTTAAATGCGGCTGCATCCAAAACAAAAAGAGGCTCCACTTGGCCCAGGCTAGGGTTTAAATTAGTGAAAGGAGGTGAGAGAACAATCAGCTCCCTTCCTCCCCAAGCTAGTCAATGAGTGGCTAGAAACTCTGAAAGGGAGGGGCACCCTGCAACCCCTCAGGATGTATTCTCCTCCCCATTCAACTGGGACTGTCCCAGTCACTGCTGGCTTGATCAATTTTCCCACCTGTTGAGGCAGGTGTGTGGCATTTTAAGACAGGAAATGAAGAATTTTTTCCCTAATTGGAACTGGAAGGGGAAATTTAGGCAGCTAGAATTTAATAGCTCAAGTTCTTAATTCAGCTAGGTCTGAAAAGTGTCATGGGATCTTTTAATGACAAAGTGGTCAGGACCTCAGTTTTAGGTTTTATTTGAAAGATGCTGTCTCCAGCCAGAGGCGGCTCCAGGCACCAGCGCTCCAAGTGCGTGCCTGGGGCGGCAAGCCACGGGGGACGCCCTGCCGGTCCCTGCGAGGGCAGCAGTCAGGCAGCCTTCGGCGGCATGCCTGCGGGAGGTCCCCCGGTCCCGCAGATTCGGCGGCAATTCGGTGGCGGGTACACCGAAGCCGCGGGAGTGGCGGACCTCCCGCAGGCATGCTGCCGAATTCGCGGGACTGGGGACCTCCCGCAGGCATGCCGCCGAAGGCAGCCTGCCTGCCGTGCTTGGGGCGGCAAAAAAGCTAGAGCTGCTCCTGTCTCCAGCAGCATGCTCTACTGGAATGCAAGGACATTACTGACTCTAGAGAAGAGATCCACCTTCAAACACCCCTTTGTGCAGTACCATGATTTTCCCTGGTGTTCGCCCATCAAAGTACTGATCAAGCCCAACCCTCATCTAAAGGGCCCTCACAAACCTCACCACCTTCCTGTCATGGCTTTGACCTGGCTTTCTATAAGATAAACATATAGTGCTCTTCCTCTTGCTCTGTGCATGTGTATATGTATATAATTAAAAAATCTGAACGAAAACACTCCCTTGCACACACTTCTCCCGCGGAGAGAGGATGAGAGAACAGAAACATCACAGATGTTAGTCCTGTTACTTAATGCACTTCTGGAAAGAACTCAGAGACAACAGTCATGAGGTGGTTTTTAGAACCTATACAGAATAGATTAGAATAAGTGTGGTATAAGAACAATAAATAGAATAGAAAACAGCAGGTTTTTTGGGCACAAATCCATAGTAGTTCTATGTAAATAAGCAACTTCACTGGCTAAAATCTGTCCAATTTCCTTAATGTTCTTTTTTCTTTTTCCTGCAGATAAAGAATTCATTTATAGAAACCAGAATGGCACTGTGATCCTGCAGAATGTTGAAACAAACAATTCAATGGTATTAATAGAAAACAAAAAAATCGTAAGTATCTTCTTTAATAAGCAGGATAATTTCACAGTTTTCTTGCATTCAGGCCAATAAAGTAGAAAATGACATTTCATTTTCAACTTCATGTATTGCCAAGCAGAATACTATGGACTAAGCAAGTACAGATAATGTGAAATGGAATCTGTGCTTTCTTTGTTAAGCCAGAAGCTCAGTTTTCTTCTGTGTGCAGAAAACTCTCTACTACAGGTATTTGAAGCAAGCCTTGCATATCATATGTCATTGAAAGAGACAGGGCCGGCTCCAGCATTTCTGCTGCCCCAAGAAAAAAAAAAAAAGCCGTGATCGGCGGCGGCAGTTCAGCGGCAGGTACCTTCGCTCCTAGAGGGAGTGAGGGACCTGCCGCCCCCGAATTGCCACAGGTGCCGCCCCTCTCCCTTGGCCGCCCCAAGCACCTGCTTGTTAAGCTGGTGCCTGGAGCTGGCCCTGGAAAGAGAAATACCTTAGGCTTTTACACAGTTACTTTACAGAGCATTGCAATTATGTATTTATAATTTGCTTTACACTGCTAGGACTTATTCTCTCCCACCCCCCAACACACACACACAGCACAAATATTTCTTCAAACACTTGGGAGATGCTGATTTCATTTGCACAAAGTTTGAATTGTAATGAAATTATAAAAAGAAATTTTGTTTAAAACATCTGGAGCAATGTAATGGGGTTACTGCATGTTGGGTTACAGGGAAAAATTGAATGGGTTATTGGAATAAGGTGTTAGTAAGGGGTTCCTGTAGTAAATTGAGAGAACCGATTGACACATAAGACAGAATTGTATCTATGCAGAAGATAATGAAAACGTTTTGTAACATTAAATCATATACCAAATGAACACAACGTGATGACGAAGCTAACATATTAAATACCAGAATATTACCAACATTTGCTGTAAAAATGAATAGATCAAGGTTGTAAAAACCAATTGCCTGACATAAAAAGTACTCTTGTAGTTACAGTAGTAATGAAAGATGAACCCCATTCTCTTTCTAAAATTAATGCTCATGCATTTGAGCTGAAGACATTCTGGATGAGAAGCTAATACTGCAAATTAATATCATACACTACTCCACTATAGACAAGAGATCCCTATCACTTTGGACAACGTGTTCGGCCTATCTCATCTCTACAGTGCACTCTGGTTCAGATCATTCCCACATAATTGTATCCATCAAGGGGACACCAGAGGCATTTAAACACCTCAGTCAGGAACATGATATAAATACCTATCTAGACTAGGGTGAAAAGTGCAGAAGACCTCAAAACCCAATACTGTATTGAAGGGAGCAGAGCTGAATATCAGTGGTATATTGCTTCCTTCTCTGATGCTGTGAAAGCCCTTCTGGAGATATAACCCTGATAGGATTAACTCTTCTAGTCATTCATCCCCTCCTGCTGAGTTTTTGAGGCCAGGCAAGGATGAGGGGAGACATCAGCAATGCTCTAGATGAAGTTGCCCTGGAAGGCAGACAGCAAGGTGGCTTGGGGGATATTGCTGAGGGTCTGATTCTCTGTGCAGATGCCCGAGTCCTCTGCTAATGCACCCAGATATGTAGAATTTCTCCCTTTTGCTGCACCTGAATCCCTTCAGAAAAGACTATGTAGCAGAAAGCAGAAAACGATGTAGGGGTTACAGTGGACAAGAAGCTGGATATGCGTCAACTGCGTGCCCTTGTTGCCAAGAAGGCTAACGGCATTTTGGGCTGTATAAGTAGGGGCATTGCCAGCAGATCGAGGGACATGATCATTCCTCTCTATTCAATATTGGTGAAGCCTCATCTGAAGTACTGTGTCCAGTTTTGGGCCCCACACTACAAGAAGGATGTGGAAAAATTGGAAAGAGTCCAGCGGAGGGCAACAAAAATGATTAGGGGTCTGAAGCACATGACTTATGAGGAGAGGCTGAGGGAACTGGGATTGTTTAGTCTGCAGAAGAGAAGAATGAGGGGGGATTTGATAGCTGCTTTCAACTACCTGAAGGGGGGTTCCAAAGAGGATGGGTCTAGGCTGGTCTCAGTGGTACCAGATGACAGAACAAGGAGTAATGGTCTCAAGTTGCAGTGAGGGAGGTTTAGGTTGGATATTAGGAAACACTATTTCACTAGGAGGGTGGTGAAGCACTGGAATGGGTTACCTAGGGAGGTTGTGGAATCTCCTTCCTTGGAGGTTTTTAAGGTCAGGCTTGACAAAGCCCTGGCTGGGATGATTTAGTTGGGGATTGGTCCTGCTTTGAGCAGGTTGTTGGACTAGATGACCTCCTGAGGTCCCTTCCAACCCTGATATTCTATGATTCTGTGAAAGCCTGCTGCCTCAAAGCTAAATGTTTATTACCTAACGTTGCCCCCCTATATTGGAGGGATTGGGCCTTCTCTTACCCATATGCGCCATCCTCCCAATGCTAAGCCATTTTGCTCTAAGTTGCACTGACTGGAAACGTCCATCAAGAGGCCATTTTGCCAGCCAACAATCGCATTCCCATATGCAGGGGAATCCTCCCATGGCTGGTAGAGCTGCTTTTTTGCCTGCTTTGCAGGGCTGGAATGGTACAAAGCACTGTCAAAGAATCCACTGTCCTTTGACTGCAAACTTTTGTTCCTCTAAGTTTTGGTGCAGTCAAAGGTTCTTCTCCTTCCAAGATCCCAGAAGGAGATGTCTGGTCGCAAAAACAGAACAAAGCTAAGGTAAGTTTAACATAATTGTCTAACAGCTGTTAAAAAGAGCTCTGGAAATTGTGGACTGAAAAAAAAAACCCCACAAGAAAGCCTTGTTCAGAAACCTGTTTGGCTTCAAGAAAATACTAAAACCACATTCCATATTGACTTCACACGGCAGTAATCTCATTTCCCTCATACATAGTTCTAGCAGTGTCAATGTTTTAAATATGCCTAAAAGATCTGCCTAAAAGCAATACTGAGGTACTGTCTTCAAGCTTTTTATCATTGTGCTATATCCAGCTTTAAAGACCACATGTTTTCATTTTACCTTCACACCTTGCTACGCCTCTGAGGCTGTACTGTTTTACCATAACTTTGTCCACAAGCAGACGCTGCATAGCTAATTACATCAATGACTGATTCCCTGGCACCTTTACAAAGCGAGACACGCACATTCAGTTGAACCACAGAAATTCATGTCAGGAAGCTAAAAAGGGGAGAATACATCAACCACATCTGCCTTCAGCACATACCACTAGTGACCTGATGTGTATTTTAGACCTGTGGAATAAGGGTCTAGTCGTGGTTTTCATATTTTCAGCTGGCAAGAAAGCCCATAGTCATCCAGCTATTTCTTTGTTTAGTAGTTCAGCTCTATAATACAGCAAATATTTCATGCTTTCCTCCTAGGAAACGCCCATGGTTTTTTTCCGTATTCATTTCCCACCAGCCTCAAAGGCCACATGCTGAGGTGCCTCTGTTCCCTGGCAATGACTGTTGAATGGAAGTTTCTCCAGAACCTATGGGTTGTGCCTTTCGGGTCAGTGCGGAGCACTGTCATACAGTACATGCTCCCTCTAATATGGCCTAAGAGCCCCATCAGCCCATGAACAGACTGAGGCTCGTTGTCATCCATTCTCTGCGTGACAGCACCACGTGCTGGATCTAGACCAGCAGGCTGTCTCTGTTGAATACTTTCTGCCAACTGTATATAATAATTGTTCCTATAACTGCTCTATGCTGTTTTTCCCCACAGAGAGCATCAGCTGTGCTCTGTATAGAGGAATTGACTAGATTCCTTTAATAGCTGACTTTTCTTAGCTGAATTCATGAGTTTTATTTTCTATGGCTTCAAATAGCCTTTCACTGTCTGCTCTGTATTCCATTGGTTCTTAGTTTTTGGCCATACCATAAAAGAAAGACTAGCCCTCCTTCCAACTCCCCAGCCCCCTACTACTTTGTTTTCCCCCCCAAAAATATTTAATTCTGCAGATTTCCAACGTGGGTTCTCCAGCCCAGTTGATGGCAGTCCATGGACATGGTATGAGAACCCCTGCTCTACCTTATTCAGATGTTACAATAACACTGTGACTTACAATAACTCTTGATGGTAAGGTATGCAGGACCTCACACAATATTCTGAATGTGTCCTCCTTTGTTTGGCGCTAGAAGATCTTCCTCTCTGTTACATTGGGACCCTGTCTCTAAACATTGCAGAGCTGTATTCACTTTCTCTTTACTGCTCCTCGTGCTGGAGATTTTAGATCTGTTCTTTGGGAAGAGCCTTTTCTCATGTACTGTTTTATCATATAGCCACTGAAGGAACATCTCATTTTTGGTTGTTTTTTCTTTGTCTCACTACCTTAAACTGTACGGTATAAGCATCGTATCTGCCTATGCTTCTATACTGCCTAGTTTGTCATGGATTTATTATCCATCTTGTTTACATTGACTTATTCCTTCAATCCCATCCACCCACTTCTTTCATCCTAGTCTTGTGTCAGAGCAACTTTCATTGTCTTGGCACAGATTCCTTCCTTCGCATTATTAATATATCAGCAAACAAAATCTGTCTTTGTGCTGCCTGGCACACTCCTACAGGCACCCCTCCAGTCTAAACCGCTTTCACTGCCCTCTGCCTTTGGATAGCTCGTCTGATTCTTAATGCACTTGTGCAACTCGAACCTGCTCGCTGACCTTGTGAAGGATTCTTTTGTGTGATACCGTCCGCTTGCACTATGTCCAAGATCCTACTTCATTGTGTTTCTTGGTAATCTCTCAAAAAATTCCGTCCAATTTGTTATGTGGAAGAAAAGGATTTAAAAGCAAGAGGATGAAAGGCATATTAGAGTGACCTCTCTTTGGCCTTGGCAGTGTTGGAGCTGGCACTGCATATTAAAACACAGAGGAAAGGGGAAGGGACATCTGCACTAGACAAATTAGAAGCAGAGGAGGGAAGAGACATCGCCAGACAAGTAGCAGGAGCTGCTGTATATTAATGGTCAGGGCCGGCTCTAGGTTTTTTGCCGCCTCAAGCAAAAGCATTTTTGGCTGTCCTCCACCCCAGCCCTGGGCTCTCACCCCCACCACCAGTGCCCTCCCCCACCCGCACCCCCTGCCGTCCCAGTCCTGGGCTTTCTCTCCCCCCCACACACACCCCCTGCTGCCTCAGCGCTGAGCTCTCCCTCCCACCCCACCCACACCCCCTGCCGCCCCAGCCCTGGGCTCCCCCCCACCAGTGCTGACTCCGCCCGCTCCCCCTCGCTGCCAGGGCCGGCTCTAGGCTTTTGCTGCCCGAAGCAAAAAAATAAAAAAATAAAAAGGATGGTGGCCGGAATGCCACCCCTGAAAATGTGCTGCCCCAAGCACGTGCTTGGTTTGCTGGTGCCTAGAGCCGGCCCTGTTAATGGTAATGCTAGGGCTAATTTTAAGCTCAGCCCTCAGGAAAGGCTGACGCATAAACTACATCACCCCAGAACCAATCTTGGGAGACATGGTGACTCAGAGATCCCTGTGAGGGACAATCCCGACCCTGATTCTGCCTTGCTCTCACTAGGGGTGGGTGGCGATAGTGCTTTATGGTTGGCCTGTCCCAGCAGTGATTTACTATTCCCCCACCCCTATTTGGTGGCTCAAATACCTCGGCCAGTGACTGGGGAGAATTGGGTGGAACCAAGGCTTCTCCCATGTCCCATTGCTTCTCATTCACTTCCTGCCCTTCAGCTACAGGAAGAAGTAAACCAATAAGTAGGCCTGTTTACTCCTATGCTGTCAGGCCCGAGATAGTCTGCATAGGCATGCAAGGGGGGTGCTTACTCCAGGGGGCAGGCACATAGCCCAAGTCACAATGTAGCTTTTATGCAGCACCAACAGTGTTCTGGGCATGTCCCAGGTATAGAAGATGGCAAGGGTTACTGCCTCAGGAGCTTACACACTAAGGAGAAGACAACAACACAGGCTCAGCCACTGAGGGGAAGAGAAGAACGGAGTCCTCTCCAATTTTTACTATTCTGTGTTTTCTGTCCCCATCCTGACATTCATTCGCACCGAGTTCCCACCTCATCAGCTTTTTGCATAGGACTACACCTATGTGGCACTGTAGATGGACATTAGTGTGAGGGAAGGAAATGAGCAGGGGAGAAAAACACGTGAGTGAGACATGTGCTGAGTCTCCACGGGGTGTGCAGGTGTAAGGGAACATGCACAGCTGTGTATGATCTGTTCACCTTTGTATCAAGGCAAAGTAGGACTTACAAGTGTCTTCTAAAAAAATGAAGTCAGACAATACTTCCCTCCCTCCCCCCATGACGAGCATAAAAATAGTTTGACATATGAGGCTTTAGAACTACAAAATCACTTGTATTTTAACATCTGATTATTTTTTTAGGTCTCCTTAAAGGCCATTCGCTATGAGGTGTCACCTGATCGGGAGTATGCGCTTTACGCATTTGACGTTGAACCAGTAAGTACATTGATTTCATTGGCAATATACAATTAATCACTTTTCCCACTTTGATTCTGATACAATATTTAACTTCATTCATCGTTATAAAACAAAGAAAGAAAGAAAAGCCCCTCACTGCCATAAAATATATTCTCCAAGTGTGTGTCACTGCCATCTAATAGAGGGGAAAGGTATAAATAACACCATGGGGTAACACTGTCAATGCCAGAGTTTTATAAGGTTTGGGAGGGAGATTGTAAGGATATGTCTTTGCTACAAGGATTTCTGTTCCCCTTTAGTGTAATTCTTTTCCATGACTCCTTCCTCAAGTCACCCCATACATTTCTTCCTAGGAGCAAAAAGCAACTGTCAGTATCTCCCACAACTGAAATTATACATTAATTATAGTGTCACTGTTCCCAGTGCTGCAGTTAAGATTGAGCTATCACTTTCATTATAATGCCCTTTTTTCAGAGATTTATACATAAATCATCCATAAAAATTCACCTCTCGCAGCTACTAAATTTTAGATTAGGGCTATTTTTTTTTTCAAGTTAAAAAGAGAAAAACTGTAGTTTGGTCACTTTTAAATGATCATTAAATAAGAGGAAATGAGATATTGCCTGGCTGCGGATGTTCTTTTTGGGCTTCCATAATGTTTCGTTTTCCTTTTAAATCTTGTATCTATAAAATCTGAAAGTTCTGAATGATGGGTGTGTAGTCCTATCTGGGGATGCTATAAACCACACAAGTTTTGCTTTCAGAGTTTACAGTAGCAACAGAAACTCACAGTGGAAATCATTCACTCTGCCTGTTGTGGAGGGGTGGTTGTTTTTTCCTGTATAATGATGTAATTACCCAAAGGGCCAGCACATTTCTGCTGCTTTAGTAGAGGTTGTAGTCCCGGTTCTCATTTTGCTTACTCCAATATCTTCACTGGAGTTATTCCTAATCCCCAGTGGGGTAAGGAACAGGAGAATCATGCCTGGTGCTGTTAGATAAAGGTCAGGTAAAATTGTGGTGGAATCTTTGAGGGTGATTTTAAAGGCTGCTTGATGTGGGAGGCTGCCTACTGGAAAATGGTCCTTAGTGCATATGTCACCATATGCTGCTTTAAAACCCTTCTTAATGTACATTTCCACAGAAGGTTAGCACAGTTCAGAGTGAGCCGTTCCAGACTTTGGAAGGCAATACAACTTTCTTAAATTAAAAAATACTGACACAGTGAAGACTGCCTAATGCTACGCTTACCCAAGCAAGCAGAATCTGCCCCTGAGAATCCCCTGACCGTGTCTCTGATAATTATGACAGACATGGAGGAAAGGAGTGGATTAGATACTGCCAGTAAAAATGCTGGGCCCACATTGTCCGCTTCCGGGGTTAAACAGCACAAAAAAACTCAGGGGGAGAAAACTCCCAAGATGTGTCTCGGTTTTCTCCAAATTCTTCTGAGAGTGAGGTTTGCATCCCTGCATAAGAAGCAGCAAAGCCAACAGATCCCCATTCCCCTGAAATCTGCACAGACCTCAGAAGATATACAAGAGGCCAGGATCCTTTTACACAGTAGCTCTGCGACTCTACACCAGTTTAGGGGCCCTTGCGGATCAAACCAGGTTCTCTGTTTTCAGCAGAATTCCTGTTGCAAGGGAGAGGCAAGGTGCGTTCTTTCCACTGGCCCCTCCCCTCTCCACACTTGCAATCTCAGATCCATGAAGGGTTCTTAATAGGCTCCCAGGCAGGAGTTTTGACAGTGGTGTGGAGGTGGAGAACCCTTCCCAGGGATGGATGGTTGGATGGATGGAGGATTCTGTCCACATGCAGAAGTAAGGAGCACCATCTCTTCATGGTTTGCGCTCCCTCCTGATGCCTCATGCCATCAGAAAAGAAAAATGGCAGGTTTAAGGATGGAGAGTCACTCTTTGCAAAGATATCAGAATGTTTTACACTTGTGATTTTACAGCCATTTTTATGTAATCTGTATCTCTGCTTTTACTGCCATGGTCCCTGTTTACAAACCTGGACACTTAAGTTAGGATGCTCCTTTCTAAATCTGAAAGTTCAAATGAGTTTTTAGGCATCATAAGCAGTTATTTGGGCATCTGGTACCACTGAGACCAGTCTAGATCCATCCACTTTGGAACCCCCTTTCAGGTAGTTGAAAGCATCTATCAAATCCGCCCTCATTCTTCTCTTCTGCAGACTAAATAATCCTAGTTCCCTCAGCCTGTCCTCATAAGTCATGTGCTCCAGCCCCCTAATCATTTTTGTTGCCCTCTGCTGGACTCTTTCCAATTTTTCCACATCCTTCTTGTAGTGTGGGGCCCAAAACTGGACACAGTACTCCAGATGAGGCCTCACCAATGCTGAATAGAGGGGAATGATCACATCCCTCGATCTGACAGTGCTCCTACTTATACATCCCAAAATGCCATTAGCCTTCTTGGCAACAAGGGCACACTGTTGACTCATATCCAGCTTCTCGTGCACTGTAACCCATAGGTCCTTTTCTGCAGAACTTCTACCTAGCCACTCAGTCCCTAGTCTGTAGCAGTGCACGGGATTCTTCCTTCCTAAGTGCAGGACTCTGCACTTGTCTTTGTTGAACCTCATCAGATTTCTTTTGGCCCAATCCTCTAATTTGTCTAGGTCCCTCTGTATCCTATCCCTACCCTCCAGCGTATCTACCACCCCTCCCAGTTTAGTGTCATCTGCAAGATTGCTGAGGGTGCAATCCACACCATCCTCCAGATCACTAATGAAGATATTGACCAAAACCGGCCCCAGGACCGACCGTTGGGGCACTCTGCTTGATACCGGCTGCCAATTAGACATGGAGCCATTGATCACTACCCATTGAGCCCATGATCTAGCCAGCTTTCTATCCACCTTATAGTCCATTAATCCAGCCCATACTTCTTTAACTTGCTGGCAAGAATACTGAGGGAGACCATATCAAAAGCTTTGCTAAAGTCAAGGAATAACACGTCCACTGCTTTCCCCTCATCCACAGAGCCAGTTATCTCATCATAGAAAGCAATTAGGTTAGTCAGGCATGACTTGCCCTTGGTGAATCCATGCTGACTGTTCCTGATCCCTTTCCTCTCCTCAAAGTGCTTCAAAATGGATTCCTTGAGGACCTGCTCCATGATTTTTCCAGGGACTGAGGTGAGGCTGACTGGCCTGTAGTTCTCTGGATCCTCCTCCTTCCCTTTTTTAAAGATGGGCACTACTTTAGCCTTTTTCCAGTCATCTGGGACCTCCCCCGATCGCCATGAGTTTTCAAAGATAATGGCCAATGACTCTGCAATCACATCCGCCAACTCCTTTAGCACCCTCGGATGCAGCGCATCTGGCCCCATGGACTTGTGCTCGTCCAGTTTTTCTAAATAGTCCTGAACCACTTCTTTCTCCACAGAGGGCTGGTCACCTCCTCCCCATACTGTGTTTCCCAGTGCAGTAGTCTGGGAGCCGACCTTGTTCGTGAAGACAGAGGCAAAAAAAGCATTGAATACATTAGCTTTTTCCACATCTTCTGTCACTAGCTTGCCTTCCCCATTCAGTAAGGGGCCCACACTTTCCCTGACCACCTTCTTGTTGCTAACATACCTGTAGAAACCCTTCTTGCTACTCTTAACATCCCTTGCTAGCTGCAACACCAAGTGTTATTTGGCCTTCCTGATTTCACTCCTGCATGCCTGAGCAATATTTTTATACTCCTCCCTGGTCATTTGTCCAATCTTCCACTTCTTGTAAGCTTCTTTTTTGTGTTTAAGATCAGCAAGGATTTCACTGTTAAGCCAAGCTGGTCGCCTGCCATATTTACTATTCTTTCTACACATCGGGATGGTTTGTTTCTGCAACCTCAATAAGGATTCTTTAAAATACAGCCAGCTCTCCTGGACTCCTTTCCCCCTCATGTTATTCTCCCAGGAGATCCTGCCCATCAGTTCCCTGAGGGAGTCAAAGTCTGCTTTTCTGAAGTCCAGGGTCTGTATTCTGCTGCTCTCCTTTCTTCCTTGTGTCAGGATCCTGAACTCTCATGGTCACTGCCTCCCATGTTCCCACTCTTGAGTAATGTTCCCATAAACCATGTTTGTGGCTCCTTGATTAGCAGAATGTAGCTAACTATTCAATTAATTATCCAGATTTATTGTCATTTTATATACAGAGTGCAATTGTAAATGACTGCACATATTAGTAAACTTTTCTCACTTAGTGTCTTAGGATCAGATGAAATTAAAATTGTGTTTCTGTAATGCAAAAGCTCCAAGTAATTGATTCCTGGGGTTTTTGGTGGTTGTTTGTGATGCAAAAGTAAAAAAGGAAATTTCAGTGGAACTGTTAGAAACATTTTCATCATATTTCAGTTTAAATCTACAAAGCTTTTCAAAACAGAATTTTACTTATACATATATAATCACTTAGTATTTGAGGTTGTTCTTTATATTTTTCATCATTAGAGTATGATACAGTACATTTTAGATATATGTTTTGTGTATATATAATTATATATATATTATTCTTTTTTTCAGTATTATTTATATCTATCTTAATATATTTCATTAAAACTGTATCTATAATTTTAATATTGAGAGATGTCTCTTATTTTAATACTAAATTTGAACAAAGGCCAAAATAGAAAAATGCAGTATATTATTAAGCAGTGATAAAATATATATTCATATGTAAGAAGATACTGCAAACAAAATCAGTTACCATAAAAAGTGCTGGTAATCAGGATTATTGGATTGAATCCAGTTCAATGATTGTAGGATTAGAGGAATCTTAAAAAGTAAAGGTATTTTTTTCTGGTCCGGACAAGAATTTCTCTACAGTCTTGGTTCTGGTCAGGCACTGATGACAGTGTTGCTATATGGTAGTCCTGAATTGGCAGATAAATATTGTGCTAAGAAAATAGAAGTAACCAACATGCATGTTTCATGCTGTTTCACCTCATCATCTCAGTGGAGTAAAAACCATAGTGGAATACTTGACATGTATTTCTGATTGAGACATTT